CCAGACTTTGTTCTGTTGTAACCAGACCTATTGTAAATAGGGGTTATGTTGTACAGAAACGTTGTTCTGTTGTAGCTAGACTTTGTTCTGTTGTAACCAGGCTTTGTTCTGTTGTAACCAGGCTTTGTTCTGTTGTAACCAGACCTATTGTAAATAGAGGTTATGTTGTACAGAAACGTTGTTCTGTTGTAGTTAGACTTTGTTCTGTTGTAACCAGACTTTGTTCTGTTGTAACCAGACCTATTGTAAATAGAGGTTATGTTGTACAGAAACGTTGTTCTGTTGTAACCAGACTTTGTTCTGTTGTAACCAGACCTATTGTAAATAGAGGTTATGTTGTACAGAAACGTTGTTCTGTTGTAACCAGACTTTGTTCTGTTGTAACCAGACCTATTGTAAATAGAGGTTATGTTGTACAGAAACGTTGTTCTGTTGTAACCAGACCTATTGTAAATAGAGGTTATGTTGTACAGAAACGTTGTTCTGTTGTAACCAGACTTTGTTCTGTTGTAACCAGACTTTGTTCTGTTGTAACCAGACCTATTGTAAATAGAGGTTATGTTGTACAGAAACGTTGTTCTGTTGTAACCAGACCTATTGTAAATAGAGGTTATGTTGTACAGAAACGTTGTTCTGTTGTAACCAGACTTTGTTCTGTTGTAACCAGACTTTGTTCTGTTGTAACCAGACTTTGTTCTGTTGTAACCAGACCTATTGTAAATAGAGGTTATGTTGTACAGAAACGTTGTTCTGTTGTAGCTAGACTTTGTTCTGTTGTAACCAGACTTTGTTCTGTTGTAACCAGACTTTGTTCTGTTGTAACCAGACCTATTGTAAATAGAGGTTATGTTGTACAGAAACGTTGTTCTGTTGTAACCAGACCTATTGTAAATAGAGGTTATGTTGTACAGAAACGTTGTTCTGTTGTAACCAGACCTATTGTAAATAGAGGTTATGTTGTACAGAAACGTTGTTCTGTTGTAACCAGACTTTGTTCTGTTGTAACCAGACCTTGTTCTGTTGTAAATAGACCTATTGTAAATAGTTATGTTGTACAGAAACGTTGTTCTGTTGTAACCAGACCTATTGTAAATAGAGGTTATGTTGTAACCAGAAACCAGTTTGTTCTGTTGTAACCAGACTTTGTTCTGTTGTAACCAGACTTTGTTCTGTTGTAACCAGACTTTGTTCTGTTGTAACCAGACCTATTGTAAATAGAGGTTATGTTGTAGCTAGACTTTGTTCTGTTGTTACCAGGCTTTGTTCTGTTGTAACCAGACCTATTGTAAATAGAGGTTATGTTGTACAGAAACGACTTGTTCTGTTGTAACCAGACTTTGTTCTGTTGTAACCAGACCTATTGTAAATAGAGGTTATGTTGTACAGAAACGTTGTTCTGTTGTAACCAGACCTATTGTAAATAGAGGTTATGTTGTACAGAAACGTTGTTCTGTTGTAGCTAGACTTTGTTCTGTTGTAACCAGGCTTTGTTCTGTTGTAACCAGACCTATTGTAAATAGAGGTTATGTTGTACAGAAACGTTGTTCTGTTGTAACCAGACCTATTGTAAATAGAGGTTATGTTGTACAGAAACGTTGTTCTGTTGTAACCAGACCTATTGTAAATAGAGGTTATGTTGTACAGAAACGTTGTTCTGTTGTAACCAGACCTATTGTAAATAGAGGTTATGTTGTACAGAAACGTTGTTCTGTTGTAGCTAGACTTTGTTCTGTTGTAACCAGACTTTGTTCTGTTGTAACCAGACCTATTGTAAATAGAGGTTATGTTGTACAGAAACGTTGTTCTGTTGTAACCAGACCTATTGTTAATAGAGGTTATGTTGTACAGAAACGTTGTTCTGTTGTAGCTAGACTTTGTTCTGTTGTAACCAGGCTTTGTTCTGTTGTAACCAGACTTTTAGAGAGAGAGACGTATTGGATTATTTTAGACAGTTGCAGACGCCATTTTGAATGTAGCTGCTACGTCACCGTGTGAAAACAAACACTTCACAAGTGTAAGTGTAACAATGACTTCATTTGAAACATAAATATTCATTACATATGTGAGATCACACGTACCAGGGTGACGCGATGTACATTCATTTATTTCTTCGTTGTCAACAAATATTTCGCAATGCTGAAGTCTCCGTCCCCAGTACTGCTATTTATAACCAAACGCGTTTACTCCACAAAGTTTATTGTGGGTTTGTTTTACGTCAGCTGAAATCAGCTTGCCCGGCGTATTGATTGTTTTCCCAAGGTCTTCATGTGCGGGGATATATTTTTCCAGATGTACATTCATCCAGTGTTTCGATCTCAAGTAAAATTCCACGGATCGTCTCATTATGTTCAATGTACCGGATGGAATTTAAAAAATACAATCAATCTAACGGCGCACTTTGGTGCAGTGGTGAGATGCGAGTTGAATCGCGATGGCATGAAACTGTTTAAGGAACATGTGCAAAGATTTATTGGCTCTGGGTCTTAATGAATTTTGTAGGAGAAAACTCGGCACGAAAATCTCGTTTCTCTCTCTAAGTCTGTCACGAGTTCGTGGTTCGCTTTGATTTTCGCTGTTTAGTGTGATGGACTGACAGATTGGATGCGTGTGGAATGCGTATGTTTGATTAGCCGATGCGTCAGGAGTGCTATGTGGCAAGAGATCAGTCAAGGATGCGTATATCAGATGATGTGATGCGTGAGTTTTGCGTATGTCAGATGATGTGATGCGTATGTCAGATGATGTGATGAGTCAGTATGCGTATGTAAGATAATTTGATGCGTGAGTGATGCGTATGTCAGATGATGTGATGCGTATGTCAGATGATGTGATGAGTCAGTATGCGTATGTCAGATGATGTGATGCGTGAGTGATGCGTATGTCACATGATGTGATGCGTATGTCAGATGATGTGACGAGTCAGTATGCGTATGTAAGATAATTAGATGCGTGAGTGATGCGTATGTCAGATGATGTGATGAGTCAGTATGCGTATGTCAGATGATGTGATGCGTATGTAAGATGATGTGATGCGTGAGTGATGCGTATGTCAGATGATGTGATGCGTGAGTGATGCGTATGTCACATGATGTGATGCGTGAGAGATGCGTATGTCAGATTATGTGATGCTTATGTCAGATGATGTGATGCGTGAGTGATGCGTATGTCAGATGATGTGATGAGTCAGTATGCGTATGTAAGATGATTTGATGCGTGAGTTATGCGTATGACAGATGAAGTATTGCATCAGTGATGCGTATATCAGATGATGTGATGCGTCACCGGTGCGTACGTTAGATGATGTGATGCGTGAGTTATGCATATGTCACATGATGTGACGCGCCAGCTGTGTGTATGTCAGATGAGTTGAAGAGTTGGTATGCGTATGTCATATGATGTGAGAGGTGCGTATGTCAAATGATGTGATGAGTCGGTATGCGTATGTCTGATGAGGTGATGCGTGAGGTATGCGTATGACAGATGAAGTATTGCGTCAGTGATACGTATGTCAGATGAGGTGATGAGTCAGTATGCTTATGTCAGATGATATGATGTGTGACAGATGAGGTCAAGAGTCAGTATGCGTATGTCAGATGATGTGATGCGTCACTATGCGTATGTCAGATGATGTGATGCGTCAGTAAGCGTATGTAAGATGAGATAACTCATCAAAGTGAGATCTAAGTACTCACTGGGGTTACCCAAATATCACGGGAAATTTCATCACAAGTCACGTCAGAAAGACCTTTTTATCACTAGTACCACTTACGAGATAACGAAAGTCAAATTCCGAATGTGTTTTCTCATCACGCGACCTCGGAAAGGTGAACACGGGACATTCCTAACGACGGCTTTGATCTGTAAGTGGGTAGACATTAAAAACGGAAGACACTTTCTACAGCGCAGAAAGTACTGCCATACTATCCCAGCCATCCATTAGATATTCCAGATTTTTCTTTAGAATGTCCTGTTTTTAAGATTTTTCGTCGAGATATTTTTTCAAACCATAATCTGGAAAGACGAAGGCTGGTCGGCATAAACGGAGGTTAACACGGTGTAACCTATCAACTTTTTGAAGAACATGTGAATTACAAAACCGTTTTGAAAAACTCCTGTGATAAGTAAATTATTCTATTATTACTTAACTAGGATGACCTTCCTTACGAGTTCATATTTTATTTGGTTAATATTATTGATCTTCAGATAACCATTCGGGGCGACTCGGATAAGTCCGCTACTTCGATGCCTCGGGTAATGGAGTAGTGATACAAGTTCAGTTAAAACCGTATAACCCTGATCCATCCGCATATAGTTCGTAAAACACAACTGACGTCATAACAACAGGTGAGTCCGTACTGATTGCAACTTAGGTATGCGCTTCGATATGAAGACATAAGCAGACGTAACCATTTTGAACCGAGATATAAGATCCAGGGCCCCGTTCAACAATGCGATTGAGGCGCTAGGACGGCCTTAACTCCTACATTTTAACATAGACACACTACAGTCAGAGCTCTACCATCGCATTGTGGAACAGGGTCATGGTTTCTGCCATGTTGTGTCAAGCGATAGTTGTGTGAACGAAATTGGTTCCAGTATGAACTCTGGGCAGTCCAGGTCGAGGCGCTATATAGCTCCTGTAAGTCTCGCGAGACGCTACTTCCGGTACTAAACTGGTTCCCGGCACCATTGCGCGCGCCAATTACGATATGCTAGACGGGGCCCAGCTTACTTCCGGTACCATATTTTCTGTGACAAGCATATAATCAGGACCAGTTCTGGTTCCAAATTACGCGACCACCAAATATGGCTAATTTGGGGATGTTTTGAGACGAAATTTGTTATTCCTGCAAGGATGATCGGTTCCTTACTGTTAACTGACAGCCATGAGGTATGAAACGTTGTTTTGTTTTTCACCGGAAGTACCAAAGTCTCGCGGAAGAGCTGTGACCTACTTACGGACCCTATTCTACTGATGAGATGAGTGTCAGCTACCCTACCTGATGTTTCACTGTATTGAAGATAACCCCTCTCCGACAGACTGTTGGCCCACACCTGTGATTCTTTACAAAGGTCTTCCGAGGGAGATAATTCTGGACTTCCGTGGCACATCCGGAACGAGTTATGTCCCTTTATCATTTCCTGTTTGAAGAGACTGAAATCTGCAAAGAAAAGACGCAAACATTACCATTGTATTACATTTTGTAGTTATATTCAACGAAACCAGTTCACTTTAGGTATTTTATCAACACTACAATCTGACAAGACTTGGTCCCAGAGTATGAAAGTAACGCAACCTTTCATTCTGGTTTAAGGTGCGCCAATTCACTGCTCGTCCCTATGATGTTTCTAGCTTTGTCACCAAAGGGCTAAACGTCTGAGACAAGCATGATTTGGACAACCCTTGTCTTGATCAGTTACCACCAGGACTGTCAGAATTGCACGTTCTTATAGATCTTAACTCGAGGCCAGACGCTCTATACGTCAATAGTCGCATCGTATCGCTGTTTCTAAAGTAAAATCGCAAATCCTGCAAAACATCCAGATATCTAATTCACAACTTGATTCACGATAAATATTAGGAGTTGGTCAAACCTATATTTCAAAAGACAATATAGTCACGTGTCCTTGAAGTACAGTACTGGGCAAAAGACGTTACACGTCCATGTAAGATTATCGCGAAATATAAACAAACAAGGGATGGTGATTCTATGGGAAGTGTATTAAATTGTATTTGACTGTTCATTAAGTCTAGTAACCTTTGCAATATCTTGTCAGATCTAATTGTCAGGAGTACGCTTTCTTTTGCGTGGTAGTGTAGTTCATATGTGTAATGGGTAAATGATCAACTGTCAAAATATAATGAATACAGACAGCTATTTGTTTGGCGTGTCTGTATTCACATCCACAATTTGAACATTCAAATTTTGCATCAATTTAGATAAGATGTTGATCGTATTTGTAATATACTGAACAACATTAGAAACGCACCACCCATATAATACGAAATAAGTCCGTCAGATTGAAATGTACCCATGATATTTGAGCATCATCGGTGCATTTTAGTGTGGTGCGTTTCTAATGTTGTTCAGTATATTTAGACCGAAACAAAACAATTTCAAACTTTTTCGGTATAATACTTGTACAGTTGAAGTCTTCAATGGAACAGAATCATTGGGATATGCTATTAAACACACGACACTGATAGGTCTTGCGATGAGCAACAACACTGACAGCTTGCTTAGTTTTCTACATACACGTACTTGAAAAAATATATCGGAATAAGTTTCGAAGGCTGTAACTCCAAACACCTCACTGACGTTGAACGTCATTGACTGTATTTTCAAATACCCAACCATTTCTCCTTCTGACCAAAATACTGTCATGTTTCTTATTCCGACCAGGTGTATCTACGGAAGTCACATTTTTATAAAGAATGGCGCGTCTTTGTGCTAGAAAAACACTGGATCAGTTGAACGACGTTTTCTTCACGGCTGAGGCACAAAAAGAGTTGTCACTAAAATAGCTGTTTTGAGTTTCAATCTTGTTCTTGTGGATAATTAGCTGAGAACCTAATTATAGTAAACAGCATGTCTTCCATGGAAAAGATTAACGTTTCTCCCTGGAGGATGTGCAGCTACAACACGCCGGGAAGTGGGGAGTTTCCATGTTTGGCAGTGTGACTTACGAAGGTCATGGTCAATGGCGGAGTGTACAGGGTTCTACGAGATCAATTAACTTGTACACCACAAGACGGAAGGTCGAAGGTTAGCAAGGGCGTTCAAAATGTGTAAAATACCGCAGATGACACATGTAATAGATCTATCATAAAGCAGGTTACAAAGAATCGTAATTGTGTTTGTTACAATAAAAGCATCTTGTGACGTAACCCGGCCGTAACTACTAACATGAATAGGGTCCATTTTGACGCGAAATACAAGACGTCATATAACGCTGCTGACGTCGGCAATATTTCAGCCATATTGTGACTTCATTAAAACTGTCATCGAAGAATGTTATCGAAGGACAGATTAACAACTTATCTAGTACTATATCGCTGATGGTTTTAAGCTAGTTACAGAACGGTAAAATATGTACATGAGAATGTGTTTCAACACAGGGATTTGACTCAACGTGGTCAGTTAAGGATATAATCTTTTGTCTGGATCTACATTTGTTCAACAAACATATCATCATAGGCAACTGTAGGTAGTATGTGAGTTTGTCATTCAGGGATTTAAAAACCTGCCCCGAGACATTCACTCATTTTAAAACGTCCCCAAAGAAAAGAATTTCATACCTAATCACCTGATAGTAAACTTCACATTCGCAGGACCCGTGAAGATCAGGGTTAAAATTGGTCTTCAGTAACCCATGCTTGTCGTAAGAGGCGACTAACGGGATCGGGTGGTCGCTGACTTGGTTGATACATGTCATCGGTTCCCAATTGCGCTGGTCGATGCTCATGATGTTGATCACTGGATTGTCTGGTCCAGACTCGATTATTTACAGGCCACCGCCATATAGCTGGAATATTGCTGAGTGTGGTGTAAAACTAAACTCACTCACTCACATTCGCAGGGTCGCGCTTCATATATATTTCACGTGCATCATGTACAGGCAACTGATGATGTATATTTCACGTGTATCACGCAGACAACACATGGTGTATATTTCACGTGCATCACACAGCGGCAACTCATGGTGTATATTTCACGTGCATCCCGCAGAGGTGATTTGTGGAATATATTTCACGGACGTCAGGCAGGGGCGACTCGTTGGGTGTTCACAGTTAACCGTGCATTTTGACATGCATGTACAACAGTCGAGTTTAAACATTTCAATAGGTTCGGTTCTATCAATATCATCTATGGTTTACAGTTATGGTGCAGTTGAATCCTGGCGTCCAACCAACCAATTTCAACGATTCGAAAGTCTCGAGATCAGACGTGGTCCACAGTATAGGCTTACAGATGCCTTACTGCCCATGTCGTCCGTTAATAACACGTAATTTGCTCCGGCACTAATAAGCTCTTGCAGTCTGTGAGAACAGCTTTGCACTGTTGAGTAGACAAGAATAACGGCTTTTGAGCGTTCAGATTCGCCTAATGACTGCTCATCTGTACAAGGTCTTGTTGTAGTAAGCTGCCTATTTGCCAAGCTTAAAGCGGTTTCGTTTATTTCATACATGGGAATATGGGAATCTGATGTTAGTAAAGTTTGGGTAGTGACGCCAGTGTCAACGGCACTCCATCATGGCGTGACATCCACGTGGCTGAATTGCGCATGTGCGTCACGTGCACTTACAACGTGAATCGGTAAACCTAGTGAACCCTCCCCAGTCACGGAGACAACGTTCTTGTCACATTTGCGACATCTACACTGCTCAAACACTTCTTTGTTCTGAAATACACAATTCCAATACAAAGAAAGTGTCATTACAACTGTGTGCAGGGGCGGATGCAGTTTTTTTAGGAAGGTGTGTTTGTGTGTGTGTGTGTGTGCGTGCGTGCATGCATACTATTGAGAAAAGGGAGGGTGCACATTTCATTTTCAACCGAGTTTCAATCGTCATTTAATAAACTTTCAGGACAAATGGGGGGGGGGGTGCGCGCACCCCTGCACCCCCCACCCTCACTCTCTCTCGCTCTCTGGATCCGCCTATGGTGTGCATAATCATACCTTGGCGTAGCCAGTGCACCATTTTGCCTGTAGGAGGACGTGCAATATTGAGAGGTTAACAAAATTTAAGTGACCTAAAATAAACTCCTTGGAGCCAAGCGCGGACATTGTTATATTACCCCTGTTAACCTAGGCTGCCTGTGAGGCGCTTGAAGGTTAACAGTCATATCACTTATCCCACCGGGTACCCATTCACTGCTGGGTGAATAGAAGCAATTAAAATCACTTGTCTAGGTGAGACCACATGCGTCACGTGTGCTTCGTTGGGGGCAGGACAGAAGTCCTAAAAACTCTCAGGAGTCAGGCTACCAAATATGGTCACCCATCCAAGATCTCCCTGACCAACTGTGCGTACCTTCAACGGCTTTGTGACCTAGGCTCTGTGCAGGACCACACACCACCACTTGGATACCATTTGGGCACCCAAATGATAGGTATCTTCACATAAGACAGACCACCCAAAACACAACACATTTTATGGTTGGTTGCACAAGGATTAATTAAGCTGTACCCTTGATAATAATGGCGTGTGCCCAGATGAAAAAGACAACATTACGTATTAACTATAGTTTATCTTTATGAAATTGTTGATATTACTTTACGCTGACGATACTGTCATATTAGATGAAACAAGTGATGGATTGCAAAAATCTTTGAATGTGTTTGACCAGTATTGTAAAGAATGGAAACATAGTGTCAGTGATGAACTTCACTTTTTATTATAATGTCCAGCACTAAACGCCCTCAGAAATCAATTTCTTCCCCAATATGTGTGTAAACATCGTACTATTGAAAAATGTGTTTATCTAATGAAATGTGATTATTCACTACTTAATTCTAAAGTTATCAAAACTGGACTTTACTCAATGTTTTAATATGTTACAGTATCAATATGCTGTATGTTCTCTGAGTCACTATTTGTGATTTTTGAGAATAAATTTCGGTTCTATTCTGTTCTGTTCAGTAAAAGGATCAGTAATATGTTACTATACTCTGTAGTGACTCTGGGTCAGCTCATTACTTAAATAGGGGTGGACAACATGGCTCAGCTAATTAGTGTAGTCATTGAGTCTGTCTTATGGGAGGTCTTTCTTTTGGGAGTGAACCAACTGAAGCCCCTAGTCAGCTTCTCAATCCCTAAACTTTGTCATTTATCTTTCGACCAGCGATTACAGTAATAATGGGAATCTCTCAACCTAACGCTTAGTCTCTGAATTCATATAAATTTGATACAAACAAATAAGTCCATTAAAATTTAAAAGGAGCCCCAATGAGATTCAGATTGAATAAATCTAGACTTGCTTTAGCATCGCAGAAAGGGCTGGGCGGAAGGGAAAATAATGTGGTTCAGGGACTGTGAGACACGCTAGATATATTGCATCTCACTTGGGCTCCCTTTCCGTCCAAATGCAGTTGTTCGTTTTCATGGAAATTACATATTTTCAGAGGCTAAGCGTCAGTCTACCTAAACCCCAAACTGATAGATTCGAGTTGCCATACGTGTACGCAAAACGGTTTGTGTTGAACGTTGTCAATATTGATCTTCTTGATTCAACCACGCGAGATGGAAGGATATGTAATTCTAGCGCTTGAGCAAAACACCTATTTACTTAACGTGTAACAACACATTTATGCTTTTACAAACGACAACCAGTTTCTATGGCAATATCGGATGATTGTTCTTTACATAGACGTATCGGCTACGTCCACCCATAAATAAAGGGAATAGCGGAGATTTTGAACATATGTGAATCATTTTCTTTCGGAGAACCAATGACAGGAAATATACACTTAGAACACGTCAAGAACACGGTCGTTACGAATCGTTGTATTGTTGCTTGGTGTTGCTAGCTCGTCGCGTTAAGAACACAAACACAACATATTTGCCGTAAAAATTCTGATTGCACTCGAGTGCTTCGACATGATGGTTGATCAGCCTGAATACCCGGGTTCGATTTCTAAATATTGTTACAATGGTCTTAGTGTCATTTGACCCGTGAAGATCCGGGTTAGAATATTGATCTTCAGCAACCCATGCTTGTCGTAAGAGGCGACTAACGGGATCGGGTGGTCAGGCTCGCTGACTTGGTTGACACATGTCATCGGTTCCCATTTGCGCAGATCGATGCCCATGCTGTTGATCACTGGATTGTCTGGTCCAGACTCGATTATTTACAGACCGCCGCCATATGGCTGGGATATTGCTGAGTGCGGCGTAAAACTAAACTCACTCACTCACTAGTGTCATTTGTTTTTGTTTGTTGTTTACCGTAGCTAGATGACGATGGTCTGTAAATAACTGAGTCTGGACCAGACAATCCAGTGATTGACATTATAAGCATCGATTTGCAATTGGAAATCGGAAGCGATGTCATGCATCCATGTCAGCGAGCCTTCTTCGTCTTAGTCATGATATTGTTATATATCTTAAAGCGGAACACATTGCAACAAACACCACAATCATATTTGGAATTCGGATCATCTTGCTCCACCGCCAAGGTTTGAAACTGTATATCGCCCAATAGGCCTCCAGACTCTTTATTTGTTTGCAGCTTAATCACCTGATTAGCTATACAGAGTTTCTTCCCCTTTGCCCTCCAGGATTCGGAGATCGTTTTTTCGAATCCGATTAATACACCTTGGGTGGTAAACATCGGCGTGACATGATTTTTTAAGCTGTTCAAAGCGGCATAAAACAAAACTCAGGATTGGAAGTCTGAGCTGGGGTGGAGTCCGGTGTAACTACCACGTTTGGCGCTCATCGAGACAAGTCAATTGTTTAACTGGTGAAATTAACATTCAAGAAAAGCGCTGCACGCTGTGACATTTATGGGTCCGTGTGTTTGCAGCAGCAACCCCCCGGACAGCGATGCTATTAACACGCAGCAATCAAAAGGGATGTCAAAAACCTATTTCTCTGCAATGATCTGCAACTTCACTAGCGACAGGTTCATGCAGATTCGTGATAAGATCGCTGAGTTTGACAGCCATGATGGCACCTCCGAGTCAAGCCTGGCTGTTATACCGTGACATTTACAGCGCGGAAGTGGATCGATGAATGAAGTCGTACGGCTATACACTGGCACTCATTTCAAATTTATTGAAATTGATCACTCGTGTAATCGTCTTCACATATTTCATGAATTGTGAATGTAAAAGTTATCACTACTACCAATAAGGTGAAATACTCTTGGCGTGGTAGCCTAAGGCTGAAAAGATGAGCTTTCATCTGTGAATGCCCGTTGATAATATCGAGGTAATTTAAACGTATGGGTTGTTCCCCACAGCGATAAAGCGGTGTTTAACTCCCATACTTTAAGGCTGGCGTTCGAGTGTCCCTTTCTGTTGAACCGACTGTGGGATATCATGGAGGGCGCACTTGTCAAGGAGAGCAGAATGTCGATGGTTCGATTCTCGTCTTCATAGCAATTGGCATTATCAGATGGTATTTGTTGTTGGTGATCGTCATTATAGAGGTAAAAAGTAATGGGGCTTGGTCGGCTCGGAGTCAGTATACAAACTCCGAGTTTCGAACCCGGGTCTTCATCTTGACGAGCGAACGCCTTTTACCACTAGGCTATCCCACCGCCCCTAAACATACGTGCACGAATGTTGCTCCAAAGGTGCAAAACGCTTCATCACGATGTAACCCCATTTCACCTGGCCTCAACTTTGTTGAACGGGAGTAACACATTTAGAAATCTCAAACAACTCCAAGAAAATGTGTATTTTGTTTGTTTAATATTTCAGGTGCATGAGTGAGCGAGTTTAATATTACACTGCTATTCGGAATATTCCAGCAATATCACGGCCGGGACAGCAGAAATGAGCTTCACACGTAGTACCCATGTGGGGAATCGAACACGGGTCTTCGGCGTGACGGGCGAAGGCTTTAACCACATGGCTACCCCACCTCCCTCAGGTATATGAAAGTACAAGTCTCCGGTCTAAACCATGTTGTGGACGATGCATGATTTGCCGATAGTTAAATCAGTTTTCCTTATTTGACATTCTCGTTCAGGATTGCAGAATCGTGGTCAGAACCAACTGCAACCACAATAGCAGTTTTTAATAATTTGATTTTAACGGTGAACCGAGACGAAACAATATTATCTATTTCAACATATTAAATATCGTGAATGCTTGGAAAAAAGCTAATTCGTAGTCCCGAGTAAGCACATATAATGCTGAAATATACACAGAAACTTGCACAGAAACTTGCACAGGAACTTACACAGAAGAAGGCTTGCAGTGTCCATTAGGAAAAGACCAAGTACTCTGAAAAATAAGTTTTCACGCTTCACGTTTTCCGCGTCCTTGTTGGTTGATTTTTGGAACAAAAAATTCAAAACAACAAGAATCATGAGAGTGCGGATATACGTTTCGGAATGAAAGCAATCACGTTTACTATTACCCGAAACTACTTTTTACTGTTAAAACGTTCGGAAAGTACCGAGGTTGAACGTGTAACGTGTTGACTCCGACTGACACAAAACCCTGCCGCTGCTAACTGAAGCATCGCCACGATCGGCCATCTCCGCTGAAATGACACCTCTGAGATGACAAGTCGCCATTGTAAGCCGAGACCATATTTGACCCTCGATCCCGCTAGCATATGCCCATCACGTGATTGCAATCGGCAGCCATGAATGCCTGGACAGAAAAGCCTCAGAAAATTGGTAATCTGGTGATAGTATATGATTATGTTCGGGGATAGATCACTACTGTTTATCTTTGCAAATGCAATGATTGTTTGTAGTCAATGCTAGTCATATGATCACTTTAGAACAGGTACCCTCGTGCTGTTATATATAGTCACCACATTGGAACCATATTTTCATAATGCTGTTGTATACAAGTACCTTTTGACTGCATTTAGGATGTTGCAAGCTCATGTAAGCATCCTGGATACATAAGGGAAACGAATATTCACCTAACATCAGAGACCATATACCGATGAACCGATAAAGCCGGGGACTGGATTTGTTTACAAACAACATCGTTCAGCTGAAACAAATATATACTCATGATAAAGTCACAACTGAACAATCGACTCTGCTTTTAACAGAGATTTCTTATGGATGTGGAAACTAAGGGTTTTGACGCTTCTGTCGTTCAGACCGTAGCCTGTTCACTGATCAGTTGCTGTTACGGAAAAGGGCGAGATTTCCCGACTGGCATTGTCAGAACCATGCCCGTTCTGAAAAATGAACACTTTCACACATTATTGAAGCCGAAATTACTAAATGTACGATGTTTTAACCCGTATTTATTTTCAAACACCAAAAAGCTACTAATTCATATTATATAGCTTAATAAATCAGCATTTTCACGGCAAAATAGACGCTTTCCTTAAATTCGCATAAAACACGCGAGGAAGACTGCAGTAACTTTAATTATCCTCGGCCGGGCCATCTGATTGAACTGATGCAATAAACAAGCCACTGGTGATGAGCTTGCTGGGGGTCCTGTCATCCCTCATGTAATTATCTGATAACGAGAGCCGTATCTTTCACTCGGCAAGCCCAACAAGATGAGGTGCCACATGCTGGTCGCTTAGCGTGCAAAGGGCATATTTCTGTCACACACAACTTTGATTGGCTATATTCTCACAGGGCGGTTGAGAAACAAACACACCCATCATACCAGAAACGACTACACCTTTACGCTCATACGTTCATGCACGGACGATATATACAGTGTTTGTGGTCACGAGCCGTAATAAACAATGAATTGATTCAATCCTGAATCTTTGACCGATCTTTGTAATATTCATTAGCGTTCTGTCAAAAGGGTATGTTGGTGTGATCAAATTAACCATATTATCGAGCAACTAATCTGCCTCTACATGAGGTGTGAGATGCCTCGATATAAAATCGATCTTTGGGAGAAATGATGTCATAATCAAAGATGATATGCATGTTTTTCATCGGCGAAAAGGGAATATAATAGTTTATAAGCCATAAATATCTATATCAACAAGATAAACAAAACCAACTCATAGGAAGCCCGCCAGTGTTACTAACGTAATATAAGTATGATATTTGTTGGCGTTATTGCAAATAATAGTGTTGACGCCATACAGACCGCGCCGTTGACGTCATATTATGACGTCACAATTATGGTGACGTCATGGCGTATACTTTTAGACAACGTTGAAGCATCTTCAAGCCTCGGTTTTCAATAAAGAATGCACTTCCTTCCCCAACACCTTATAGTCTGTTTGCAGTAAAAACGTACCGATGAATTTCACGTTCAACAAAAATATAAATCAAAAGAAGTGAAATTAAGATTGCGAATCCTCATAATTTTACCTTGCCATTTGAACATTTAAAATTCAGAATTTTTTTCAACTTAAAATAAAAGTTGTTTAACAAACGATCATAGTTTCAAATCGCTATTACTGGTTTGTATTACAAAGGGGTAAACGCAGTAGTTGGAACAGTGAAACAAATGCACGTGCGGTACGTGAAGTGCGTTAACTTAGACCAACTCTCTTGTTCTCGGTGTTTCAGGGGAATGTGCATACACCCTTGTAATACAAACCAATAATAACGATTTGAAACTATGATCGTTTGTTAAACAACTTTTATCCTAAGTTGAATGAAATTCTCAGATTAAAATGTTCAAATGGCAAGGTAAAGTTACGAGGATTCGCAATCTTAATTTCACTTTATTTGATTTACATTTTTGTTTGAATTGAAATTCATCGGTACGTTTTCACTGCAAACAGACTATAAGTATGGATGACATTGACATTGTTACGTCCTCGGATGTATTCAACTGATAAAATGCATCCAGAAAAAAACGTGTTATAATTCCTGTATTTTCCTGGCTATGAGGGGTACGTGAGTCCCAAAACATTCAAAGTAAATTTAAACATACCATTTTTCTAACCGTAGAATATGTGTTATTTTAATTTATGGCTAAATGGTCTAAACTTGCTGACAGCTGAAGGGATGGTGTAAATCCAGCTGGGGTCCATACAGGAAGCTAATGTACTGTAAGTCACCATGGTCCTTAGTATGGCGATCTATCTTCAGTTGTAGCCTACTTAGCCTGTTCTTATATTGTATTGTCACACATAGTTAAAATGTTTTAGAGTTCATTACTAGTTTTAAATTGAAATCTGTGATAAACTAGTTATTTTACTGTCCTTCGTTGACAGGGTTATATAATTTACCTTCATTTATTATGATTATGAAATTATAACTTGTTTTAGTCACGATATGGCTGGAATATTGCCCCTGCGACTTAAAATCTTAACTCACTCACCCACTCCTGGCTATGACTCATTTCATATCTTCTGTGTGTATTGGTCGATTCCACCATCTAGCACTTCACAAGCCTTATCAAGTTGAGTACAATATGTGAAGCCCATTTCTGGTGTCCCCCGCTGTCATATTGCTGGAATATTGCTAAAAGCGGCGTACAACTGTACTCACTCACTAACCGTATCAAGCATTGTGACCAACAAATCACCTTTTACGACAAGACTTCCATGACAACCGGCATGACCGTACGGAATAAAGCTACAATTGTGTATCTGTTCGTCATAAGAAATCCTACCTCTATGGAGATTCGAACCTGGACCACCGGGGTCGCCAGTATACACGAACTATGTAATAGTCGACAAAACTGAAGCGAAATATTTACCTCAATACTAACCCCAACAACACTCTTGGAATGAACCATTCTTAACTCGGTTGAATCGAAGTATTGTTTATGTCGACATAACGTGTAGGTTCAGACAGAAACATTACCGACATTAAACTAAATTCGGATTTGCGCTTTTCGCGAATTACAAGTATTCGATATATTCGATGAGTTCGAGTTCACCATATTTTGACATATCAGTTAAGGACCTCTGCTTGTAGCACTTGAAGCCATTATTCGAGTAACTGCCATTTCCGAAACACGCTATTGACGTGTCTAACGTCTCATGAAATAACGACAAGTAGGCTATTTCGAACCCTCTTCACTTACTAACCCGGCCTGACTTTAAGAGCCTGACACTTTCCCTTTAACGCTACGATGAACATCCCTTTAACCAAATCAGTACATTTTCCCGTTACTGTGAAAATAGCTTTTGTGACCCAGTCGAGCTGATGTCATCCCTGTGCCGAGATTGGAGTATGTCTGCGATGTCTATATCAATAATAGATGCAATATACAATACTATTGACAAGCGATGTCTGACACATATGGATGTAGATTTCACTGAAATGGACAAGACTGGTCGGGCAGTTACTGCTGCTCTCGCCGTGACTCTAGTGAAATATACTCGCCTCTGTCGCGGTAAATAACTGTCACGATTTGTCTAAAAGAGGAATCGTGATAGATGCGAACATGTAATTGTTGATGGTATCGTGTTACGATGGGTTTGGACGAACACCGCTTTAAGCAGTGTTTTATGTATATCACAGTGTTCCAGCTGCAGAAGTCCGAAGTGATATCGATGTAGGTCTCAGGCATCACTTTATCACTTTACCGATAACACAAGCACGGGTGCGACGCCATTTGTCTATTGTTTTACGCCGCACTAAGCAGCACTGTAGCGTCATGACGCTGGTCTGCAAATAACTGAATCTGTACCAAACTAGTGATTGACATCACGAGCATCGATCCACGCAGTTGGGATGCGACGACATGCTGGGTATGGCATTTACAAATATAGAAACAGTATAAAGCCGATACTGGACTCGACTGTAATATATTTTTATACTTCTTTAAAATGAATTTTAGGATGTATTTCAAGTTTTTCAAATATGTTATAGGGCTAACAAAGAAACAATGTCGTTGTTTTCGGTATTTCCCCACTTCATAAAAGTCAACAAACATATGACAAAATGTTGACTGACTTTTGACCTTTTATAGTCATTGTCACTACACATGATTGTCACAACGTGCACGTGCATCTTCCGTTTAATTTCTTTTGCCTTGGCATCGCACAGTCTTATATAATTGTTCCATAACGCTACAAAACCTTAAAACGCTTGCGTTTGTGCATTACAACCAGTCAACGAACATGTGACGTCCTGCGTAATTCAATAAAAACTGCATTTATAATAAATGTTTCATAAATAAACTAAATCAACATTCTCAGTATCCCCTTTGAAAGAGCAATGAGTGAATGGCGGCCATTTTCAAGATGGCCGCCATAACTACCTTCACCCGGACATTTGGGAAATCCATAACATGATTTCATGCTGTGTAGACTTCGGTTATTTAAAAATCATGATGGAAATTTAACTCGATCGGTAGTCAAACATTAAAGTCTGGCTCATGGGCTGCTATGGGTTTCTGTGTCTGTGTAAGATGGCAGTATGCAACAAGCATATTCATCAGTATCCATATATTGACAGGCGATATACTTATGCAAGAGTATAGACATCAGGGAGTATTGATACGAGAGCATCTGTCACACACAGGCTGCAGGCGAGCCACATCACCTATACACAAGACTCGTTCAATAATGCATGCATAACCTTATTTATATAAGAGCACCTCTAGACGTCAATAAGTAGGTCAAACCCACTACACGTCTGCAACAGTATGTACATGTGTTATTCACGTGCTAATATTCGTCAGTCGAACTTTTTGCATGATTGGGCATAAACTGTTCACTAATAATAAAAAATACCTGAAATTTTGTTGTTGATAAATATATCATTACAAGCTCATTAAGCACTTGCGAAAGTGTGTTTTCAAAATGACTCAGCGGTTAGAATTTATAGTTTTGAAAGAGAAAAAATGGTGTATATTTAATTTCAGGAAAATATAGTTAAATGCAGGAGAATTTAGGAGAATTTTCTTCATGATTATAATGTGAATTTCCCAATCGTGGTTATTAGGTATCTGCAATCTCGAATGAAGCGTTAAGATCGAATAAAACGTCGTGCAAAACGTTAGCACATTTGGTGAAGTTTCCGCGTATTCATTGGCCCAGCGGTAATTATGTTAGCTAATCACAAAGGCCGTTTTCGATTCCCCAAGTGGACACATCTAGTGTCTTATAGAAAAAAACGTAGACTATAATTCAATCTAACTCATCAAATAAACCAGCAATGTCGAGATAACGAGATCAAAATTACATCGAGACAACGTTGACCTCGAATTCGACCGAGGGAACTGAGTTTGAAACACAATTTAAATTCGCCTGATTCGATCCGAATTTCTCCGATTGGATCATGCATCCAGTGCATTGAGAGATCAAACCCTGGACCCATCTGACAATCCTTCAATAAAACCTGTTATACGGGTAACCGAACTGATCTCAACTCAAGACAATTTCTGCAGTTTAAACAAGACGATTCTGAGTAGATTAGGGAGACTGTCATTTGTCTACTTACATGCGTTTAAATTGAGACGCTCCATATCGTCTGTGCTCGTCCTTACAAGAGGCACATGCCCTAAGAGTAGAAATAATTCGATTTGGAATTCTAAACAGTTGTTCTACTTCAAAAGGGAAAATCGATACCAGCATCAAATAGTCTTTGTGACGAAAGTCCCGCTGACGTATAAATTCCTTCGAGCTAAGAAGAAAATTCTAATTTCGGATTTTCAATGACGATAGACGGACGTTTTGTTTGACCAAGAAGGCTTTCATTTTGCCGAAGGGAGTTGTGTGTTATTCGAAAATAAGCATTTGCTTGAATAAAGGAATTTTGTTTCATAACAATAGAATTTGTTTCGACATGAAATTTTAAAGGCAAAGGAAGTCCTGAAAAAAAACCAACTGAAAAATTATTTTTTGTTTGAGTCACTGCGAAACTATATGATAAATCCTTTACTGAGTTATTGATTCCAGTGACTATATGGGTTTGTGTCAGATATGCCCGCACAAACGCCATTGATTTTTCATTATATTTACTGGAAGGTTCAAATGAAAACGTCCATATGTTTCACTGACAGGTGGTTGATCTACCAACTGTGGATATCGCTATTTCCGTTACCAGAAAGCAATCTGGATTTTACGACATTCTGTTAACGACATATCTCGTCATAAAACCACCGCATCTGGGGAGGTATGTCATTAAAGGCGTTGCCCGACATCTTTTTGTCAACATCTTAAGTGTCTACCTGTAGTATTCGTTTCTTGGTACGATCGTGGCGCCAGCTAGTGTAGATCATGAGTTGTGCCCCTTTTGAAGAAGATCCGATATCAAATCAGATCGCTGTCTTTTGGAATGGCTTCACAGATATGACTACCATAGCAGACAACATGTTCGATGAGATAAGGACAAGATTTGAGACAAACTGAAAGACTACCACAGTAAAACTACTTAGTACTGACAGACAGACAGACAGACAGTGTGTTTTATTACTGTCGAATTTCGTTCTTACTATGACAGCGGTACATAGTATATATCAAGTAAAAGTGCACATTGCGGCAACATGAAATGCTCAGCTGTCTAAAAATAGCATCGCATCTCAGTCATTGTAGCAAGCCTTTAGTCGTTTGAGTTAAAAAAAAATCCGTATGATATATGCACTCAGATATAAAAACGCACTTGGGTTTGATTTCGATAACATTTTATTAGCTTAACGTTTGGGATACTTTCAAAACAGATGTGACAAGTGGCCCATTCGTGACCAACTCGTGTTATTCCGGGACAAGCCGAAAAGCGACTCGTGCCCCTCTGAAAGGATTATGTGCTGGTGTATGAACACAAGAATTACTTCAACCAAGAACAATAACTCCAGTAGTAATGAACAGCACACACGCACTTGTTGTTTTTCCAAAGAATTAAACTTCTTTGAAATGCTACTATAAATAAAACAAACAAGAATAAATTGTTGAAAAAGACCTAACGTAATTATTCATGGCTGCTCATGTTTTTTTCCAAATGTACATTTCTGAATGTGGTTTGAAAGTTAAAAAAGAGTAAAATGTGTCTGTTTAGTGTAAATTAACTTCTTCAACGTTCCCTGACATTTAGGAATCGCTAATGTTATTTCTTTTCCTTGAATAGACAGTTACAGTAATGGTTCTTCAGGTGATAGTAGTCTCAACACAGATACACATTTGTCACAACAACCTATGAGTATGTAGTTTGGCTGTCTGAAGCTCTCAGATGTGTACCACATTTCTTTTCCATAAACCAATTCTGTCAGCAATATAAGCTATATGTTAAGGTACCTTCAATAATAAAATAAAAAACATAATTGGAATTTCGGAATATTGGGATTGTGTTTCATGTGATGTGACACAAAAATATATGACACCTATTTATATATGTAGTAACGACGTACAACAAGACTTACAACAAGAACAAGAATACCAATATATTTTCTTCACTT